AATTTATTAACGTTAACTACTTGTTACTAAGGTATCAATTTATTTACTTTTATTATTCTTTTGAGTTTGTTACTATTTATAACTATAATATAAAACATAAATATATAATAGGTACCTATGTAGTAATTACCTATGTCTTTAAATTGACTTGATTTGATTATAATTTTTAAATTGATTATTTATAAATATATTTTATATAATAAAATTTAATGAAGGGTATGTTAGGGGCTATACTGTTTGTCTGTTTGTAGAATACTATTTGCATTATTATGTTTGCATGTAATAACGTTAAACAAGTGACGGGGACGCTCTTTTTTTAAAAACAAGCAGAGTGTCCCTACTTTAATTTTGCCAAGTCGAACGCTGAATTATAGAATATTGTAATACGTATTATACGGCTGTAGTTTATACATTATACATTTATACGCATACAATATTATATCTATAGAAAAACTTCAACTCGTATATCGAATAGTCTTGGGTCCCCAAAAACAAACAAGTGGTTATTGCGAGTCGTAAGACACGAACGCGTTCCGAAAGAATTCCAAATAAGTGTTATTTAAATCGGCGTGTAATGAACGTCAGCTGCCTTTGAACGTTTTCGGGCCGAATCGTTCCCGCCATTCCGCGGAAGCGAAAAAGTCGTATACGCACAGCTCACAAAGCGTAATTTATGTATAAAGAGAGAGAGAGAGAGAGAGAGAGAGAGGGTGAAAGAGGATCATTTTCAATATATATTTATGTTCCGTTTGAAGCGCGTGCGGCGTGACGATGGATTCGCCGACGTCAATGCGATCTGAAACGAAATTCAAACGGATGTAAATGGGATAAGAGACGACTCGTCCATATTATTTGTGCGTATATACAATACGATATAAAAGCGCGATCGGATATAAACGATATGCTTTGATAAATATTATGTTTTTCGGCGGAACTGCAACGGCGTGATCGCGATCGTTCGGGACCGAACACCGCGGCGGCGGCGGTGAGAAATTGACGGAGATCGCTCGGTTAGTTTACGCCCGCGTGTTGTGCGCAATCCACGATTTACTTTCCTACGTGGGTAATATAGGTATAATATATCACATCATTATGGACGGGGCGATTCCCCCGACCCCCTCCCCATTTTCATCCTTAGCGATTGTTTGAATTCTGATCTTCGGAATATTTCAAAATAGGTAAACTTGGGTTTCGTTTGCCATTCAAGGGGTATCTGGTGGCGACACAAACCGTTACTTTTTACAAACCTATTTATGTCATAGTAAATGTTGTAAATCGGATGATTTCTTTTGAAGACGCAAACGCATATAAATCGAAAGAGTAGTTTTTTATCCTCGATAACGGGTTTCCCATAACATAAATAAATAATGGCTGAAATATTTATTTTGGGTACCTAAATTATAGCGGGTATTTATTATAATATTAGAATATCTTAACAAAAATAATAATTATAAAATGTTTTACATTAATATAATATTGATAACATACTTATTATTATTGTATTTTTTACGTTGCGCTGAGGGTTGATCTCTTAGGATTTCGACAGTTATATACGGAAAGGAAACGGAATGTAAAAATTGAGTCAGCCACTACTAGCTGTAAAAATGTCATAAATCTGATAAAACTAATATTTAAAAATTTTGATTTTGGATTAAAAAATGTGTACAAAGTAAAATATTGTATAGGACTTAAAAATATGAAATTTAACCAGATCCGTGACTTTTTTTTTGCGGTTGACTAACTCGACGAATACATTCCTTACGATAGGTATAATATTATTAAAACACGAAAGTCATATCATATTATAATATTCCATACTAATACAGTAATACATATTATATATTATTACGTCGTATTGTATATTATACAAATAATACGAATAAATCGATTTCAACGTTTGTCGAAATAATTTCGTTTTTTTTTTTATAGTTTCCGGAAAACCCGTGATGTGGAAGAGCATAATACGGGGATCGCATACTTTTATCGCGAACCTGCTGGCAATATTTCAACAATTATACAAGGCATTTTCGGATTTGCAGTTTCCCTCGAACTCCGAGGACGAACGAAAACTGAAAATATGTAACTCGACGTTGTGCTGTATAACGTTAGAAACAATTTAAAAAAAACCGCATAAACGTGTCCTGACTAATTATTTCCCGAGACGTCGTTTCTGCAGGGTCACAGGATCACATCGCGCTGCGTACAATATTATTCTGCGGCGTACGACGTATCGGCAGAACGACCGAGCGGGAAGAGGAATTATATAGTTCCTGCGAAAGAAACGAGTCTTTGAAGGAGTGGATAGAAACACCGCAATTACATTTCGAATGACTGAAGCTCACGACGTACAATATTACATTTTACCGTAGGTACACGTCCCACGTCTGCGGATTTGAGGAAACGTGTAACGAGAGAAGACATCGCCGGAAACGCGCACCCCAATATTCGTATATTTTATTTATGCCGCAGCTGTATATGGGTAATACAAATACATGTACAATATATATATATATTATATACATAGGCAAAGGCGAGTAATAACTAATGAGTATATACACATATATATAGGTGTGTACTGTGTGTATATACTATATATTATAACTTTAGGTATGTATATGTGTATAATGTACGCGGTGTGGCTTAAGCCTACGGTGAAGAGGTAGTTTAATATTAAAAAATTCAACGGTTTTCATAGTCTCTCGTCACGAGACACACACAGTACCCATCGGGTATAGAATTAAATGACTATATTATGTCGTCGTCGAGATCTGAAATCGGTCCTAAAACAACTGGATTTTATGGCAATATAATAACGGTGTGCCGTGTACGGGTTGCACCACGAATACGATTGGAAAAATGGGATACAATAATAATTATTATTCGTCAGGTCTCGTTAAATAGTAAACTCCAGCCATATCAATGACGGACTCGCTATAGCCTATATTATGTGTACTGTTATGGTGTGCATATAATAATATATACTCCACAGCCCTTCATATAGCCACACTGACACTGTATTGACTTTATTGAACATTTTTTTACCATCTATGGGGTAGTTAGAAGAGTTATCTTCCTTGTAACGAGCACCGAATGCCTACACCACCTCAGCACTGTATTATAGGCTGTATTGAAGCATATTATATTGTAGAGTCTCTCCTCTTTTGTTTTTATTTTATAACTTTTTATATTTAAGAATATACTTTACAAGCCGCAATATAATGCAATAAGTAAATTAATTAATAATATATAGATCTATACGATCAATAAATCAATTATCCCGAGATGGAAGTTTCAGCATTTCAGAGATAATATATGTATAATGTATAAGTAAGCCTGTGGACCAATAATTATATAGTTATTTATAGGTAGCTAATTATTCAATCTTAGTTAATTTCTGTTACAAAGTGATTAAACATAATACAATTATAACATCAAAGTCCGTTTGATATATAAGGCGTACTACTCTGTTCAAATACGATAATACAATGAACTCTAATGACGTTATGTACTTATGTTGATAATTAACAGTGTGTATATACCGGTATAATATTATAGAATATAGATACCTACACATTGTTTAGGTATGCAATACCTGAAGTGGTATGAAGTTCGTTGATTAACGATCATCACTCTTGAGATAGGAAATAATATACATTTTGATAACGTTATGTTTTGTTTTTAGAATTATCGGTCACTATACGCATATGTGATATTGTCGGAGTTGGAAGCAACAGAGCCATATACGACGACGGGTTGATCGGTAGGGGTAGAGGGGGTGAGTCGAAAAGGGACGACGTGTTTTTATTATATAGGACTGTGGTGGTTTGGATGATTATTTTGTAAGATAATACAAGGGGACATGAGGTAACGTCGGATAGTCAGCTCCGGTCACATAGTATTATTATCTGGCCACACTTGGGCGGCGTGACATACCAATCCCGACCGCGGTATACAATAATAATATTATAATATTATAATTATATATTATGCTCTGGAACTCTATACGGGACCACGTCGACCCTGCTGCATGTCGTCTGGGGACACACACCACGACGGCTGACGGCTATAATAATAATAATAATGACGATGACTAGGAGGATGTTAAAATATGTCTGTTTTCCTCTTTCGGAACTTCAGTGGTGGTGACGGCGGCGTATGGCCCATATATCGTATACCGCGCCTAACCGCGTTATTAATATTATCATACCGCTCGGTGTGGAGAGGTGCAGGCGGTCTCGCATCTCGCGGTGATTGTTTTTAATTAAATCGAAATATGTCGCACGCGACGGCTGCGTCGGACGCGTGTGTTGGCGGACGGTCGGGCGGCGAGGATGGGTGAAGATGGGTTGCTCGCGCGATTACGTCGGTCGACCGTGGCGGCGGCAACGGCAACGGATGCGACGCGCGAGACTGCGGCGCAAGCGTCGTGATCGCGGGGCGGCGACGGGACGGCATGTGATGGGGCGGCGGCGGCGGCGGCGGTGTATATTGATTACGCGCGACGAGCGCGGCCACCCGCGCGCGCCTCCGAAGCGAGTCGGCGAGGAGAGCGAGGCGGTTAGACTTATACCACCGCGGCGCGAGAGTGAGACGGCGGCGGCGTGCGCTTTGCGTTCCGGTCAGTCAGCGTATACCACCGGTGGTAGCGGCGGCTTCGGCGGCGGCGGTTACAGTCGGTGTGTCGTCGTCGTGAACGTGCGTATATATTATAATATTATCATTATAATATCGTCGCCGTGTCATATACCTATTGTGTTTACATGACAATATAATAATATTATAGATTATACGACGTGCCACTATATCATAGCACTGCGCCACCGCGACAGTCTTCGCCATCACTACACGCGATCACAGTATCACGTCATCGCTGTATTATTAATAATATTTGCGCGGTGCGTGTTGGTGAACGCTCGTGTCTCGAAAACAGAGCAGAGACTCGTGTCCGAGACCAAAAAGTCGTCTTCATCGTCCCCGAGAACTACAGATCTCGCACGGCGATGGACCAGGTGGTCGACCTGAACGTCGGCGGCGTGTTCTACACGACGGCCGCGTCCACGCTGGTGCAGGCACAACCGTCGCTGCTGGCCGACCGGTTCAGCGGCCGGCTGGACCCGCTGCCCAAGGACAGCAAGGGCCGGTACTTCATCGACCGGGACGGCGTGCTGTTCCGGTACGTGTTGGACTTCCTGCGGGACGGCAAGCTGTCGCTGCCCGAAAGCTTCCGGGAGAAGGAACGGCTCCGGCTGGAGGCGGCCTACTACCGGTTGGACGGCCTTACCGAGCGGCTCCGCGAACAGAGGCCCGGCTACATCACGGTCGGCTACCGCGGCACGTTCGCCTTCGGCCGGGACGGGCTGTCCGACGTCAACTTCCGCAAGATTCCCCGGATATTGATATGCGGACGCGTGGCCCTGTGCCGCGACGTGTTTGGCGACTCGCTCAACGAGAGCAGGGACCCGGACCACGGCGACACGGACCGGTACACGGCCAGGTGGGTGTTTGTCATAATATTTTTATCACCTTATGCTGATCACCTTTTATCATTTATCATCTTCGCCATCACCACCGTCATCATCACCGTCGTGATTGTCATCATTATTCATTCACGAGTACTTACCTGTATATATATTATAATATTGTTAAATGTTACCCCAGCGCCATCGCTGAGAAAATTAATTTCGAAAAATTGCTGGTTGTAGGAATTTACGTAGATAATAATATATTGTATCAAGTAACGCAGTCCTGTTATTATGGAAACATTAACTATGTGGTGTTCGGGTTTAACCGACCTTATTACCATGGCTGCAACATAATCCGACGCGGACCGTTACCTGTCTCTAGGTATCGTGTTCGCTTTGTGGTTATGTGAATACACGGGAACGCCGCCGCACCCTAACTTTACCAGTAACCGCGGTCGGGTTTATATGTGAGTAGGTATACCACTCGTTTAGTGTACAGGTTCGACGTGTGTGTGTGTGTGTTTATACCAATACATTATATATATATAGGTAGTCGCTGGTAACCGCGCGTTGTGATTTCGAGTATACCTGGTATACCTTATAATAATAAAACGTATAAGGTACGTCGTCGGGCATAATACCTGTTGTAGGCTGTTACATTATAATATTATTATTTTAATTGACCGCCCATAACTTATATAAGAGTGGGGCTTTTGTGCGAGAACGCGTGCGAAATGAATATTTTAATAGTTCCAAAGCAACACGTGTTTGACATGTCTCATTCAGCGATTCGTATAATACTAATAATTATATCCATATATATACGGATAAATAAAAACGGTCGAAAAAGCTCTATTTTGTTTTCCTTTTTTGTTTAAGGACTAGTGGACAAACATTGACTATAAAAAAAAGAACCTTTCATAAAACTTGCTGGGTGTATTATTTTTTTTTCGTTATTATTTTGTTAATATGTTATTTATTTTACGCTCCGTTAAAATTTCCTTTTTCCACATTTATATAATATTATGTAGGTATAGTGTGTATGGGTAGTTCTATAATAATAATGACGGCGTGAAATCGATTTTCGTAAACTACAATTTATTAATATCGTTACCTATTTTTTATACGCAATAAACATCATAAGCTCCACTTCCGTGAACGAAACGACAATACCGTTTAATTACGAAATGTTTGTAAAACAAAAGTAAAAAACAAACGAACAGAACTACATAATAATATAACTTTAACGGCCGCGGGCCACCAATGAAATTACCTGAAATGTAATTTTGTAAACGGCGAAAAACGATAGACACTATTGAATCTGTCAAATGACTACATTATTTAACAATGATTAAATTCGCTGTGGAATGTTTTCTAAACATAATACGATAAAAACGAATTAAAAAACATAAAATACTCGATTAAACAATATATAATACATATGAAACTACGCAACTCCTCGGCTATATTAACTTTAAATGGCGGTACGAACAATTTCATTAGGACGAACATTTTTAGTGAGATATAATTAATATTCCAAACTATAATAATTATTGGTACATTCGTGTCATTATTGCAGTTAAACACAATGTTGAAATCGACGGTAAAGTCATTACGAACTAATGCGTAAGTGAAATATAAAATATAATTGCATACTTTTCAACACAGACACGTAGTAGGTACCTATTGTATTGTTTTGTATTAACACCCATCAAGACTTGCGACTAAATAAATGTTAAAAAATTATAACTATACTTCCATCAATATAATATGCTATATATATAGGTATTGAGGAATTGTATTCAAGAGAAAAGAATTTCCATACCTACATAATATCACGAAATAGCACTTTTTAATTTTTATAATATTAATCGAACGAGAGCAGTGAAATTATAACCATTAAAGAAATACAATTTGGATACATATAGGTACAAGTAAAAATATATAGTAGGTATTTTACTGTTCTAGTTTGTACAATTTCTTCATTTGTAACTCTGTAAAATACAGTTTTTCGATTGAAATGTAAAAAATGAGTATAAATCAGTGGTACGCATTAATATATATCTCTTCATAATAAATATTTAAAAGGCCACAAAATTATTTTATTATTTTTGTATATTATCTTCGGGTGCATATGTATTACAATAGTTTAATTAACGTTTATTTCGATTTTTAAAAACTATGGTTGTTTGAAGTGAAATTCTAAAATCCTGAAATTTAGATTTTTGGTAAGATTACTATATAATTTGACGATTGTTGTCCGCGGATTGTATTAGTTAAGTATTTCGATTATTGTTACGTAGACATACATACCGGATAAATCGCGTAGAAAGAACAACTGAAAATTATTTGGCCGTAACCATTTTTCTAATATACATTTTATATACTAAATTATTATTACATGTACCTATATTGGCTTTTGATCACATGGAAATAACGTATAGACACGAATCTCGTGTAAAGTTTCCGAACAAGACTGAAAAGTAAATATTAGATTTAAAAGAAAACGGATATTATTGTGTTAATACGTCAAACAAACTTTTGTTAAATTTAACACAATAGGCGGCGGTCATTATTCTCAACCCCTTATTCTTACATATATAGTGTAAATCTTACGCGAAACAGAACATAACATATATATATGTGTATGTTAGTATGTGTGTAAGTATACGAACAACAAAAACACCAAAACAACATCATTTAAGGGGGTTTGATAAAATACCTTTTAGAGGGTAATATACAAAATTATACTTATGGGGTAGTTTCTTTTTCACCAAAATATGTACATAATAATAATATATAATTATTTTCCTCAAGGGTCGATGATGATAACATTATATGGTATATCAAAAACTACGCAATGGTAGATTATATTTTGTATATTTAGTTACCCTCATTAATACGTTCGTCATATTATTATTATATTATTATACCACGTTAATTGAAATAGTATAATCGAATAATATAATATTATATAATTTTAAAAATTTCATATTTTTGGAAAAAAGCAACTGATATCGAAAACGTTTTCAATTTCGATACGAAATCGGTCGTTTGAGTATGTTTGTCTCTCGTGAAAATATTAAGTACCTACTCACCTGCCTACGGACGTACTGCGCGCTACTAATATTATGCATGCTGAAAATGCAAATTCAAATACGCGTGTAAATACCGTACTAACTACAAAGCCAATATTCTTGATGACTTATTCGACTGAATTCATCGAGGTAGATATAAAGCTATAATATTCGTAAACGCAGACGCAAATGACCTAATTTTTCTGGGGGGTGGTGGGGAGGGGGGTCCCGACGATTGAAAACAACGCGAGACATACCCCAGTTATCGATATATTATGCAAACACAAATTATTGTTTACATTAATACATCGATATAGGTCCTAGGTACATATTGTTATAATTTACATTCGATATTTATTTTATATAATACATTAAGCACAAATATAGCGAGCACCTATGTATAGGCGACAGACACACATTTGTGGCAAAACATTACGACACGGTCGGGTCGCAATAATATTATCCTCTTGCCGCCTCTTCCGCGGAAAACCCCGACCATTCTCGTCGTCTGTCATGTGGACCTATGAAATACACCGTACAACAAAAACAAAATTTTAATTAATTTTTATTGGCATCAATTTTAAAATCTTGGAAAAATTGTATTTATATTTAGTATATGGGTATTTGATTTTGTGGGACTTGGCATAGTTTTGGCCAAGTCACCCAAAGCTCACATGTACATGGCCGTCGATTACCGAACGCGGTTAACGGTTAGTTATTATAACTTTAATGGTTAATAATAAAGAGCGTACAAGATAAATTCTTGTGGAAAGTGGTGACGTATAATTTACTTGATCAAATTCTCACATTTTTACGATAACTGTATACGACCTTTTTTTTTCAACAACTGCGACCCTCATATATTATAATAATTTTTGACGATCTCATGTATTATTTACTTCTATTATATTATATTTTTATTTGGAAACGTTAATTTGCATTTGTTTTTTTTCCCCATCGCAATGCAAGAAAGGTTAAAAACCTGATACTCGTTTATGTTAAACGTATATTGTATAATATGAAAATATATATATTTTATTTTTTGTTTAAATGAAAACCCTTTCGAGTTTCAAGCTTTAAAAGTGAATATTTTTTTTCTGAATGCGTTTTTTTAAATTCCTACGAAACCGGCGTTATTCGGTTATAATCTGTGTGTGTTTGCAGTATATATTATAATAACGACGTTGTTTTCAGAAGAACGGAGTGGGCATATTTTTGAGTTAAATTTCTATCAAAACGTATAGACAAACAAACACCCATCGACCACCACTCATGGCAGGAAAATATATTATAGTCTCTGTCGTTAATATATAGCACATCGCATCATAACCGCATCAGAATCGCATTTTCGCATATTTTTATGGGTACCACGTTATAATAATATATTATTGTTATGGTGTATAGTAATTTTGCAGAGTTACTGCCATATTTTTATCCTCACCAGCCCCTCCTCTTCCCTGCACCAACCGTCACCGCTAATATCGAATGGCCTAAGAGCTTTAAAGGTATTCCGGTCTGGCTTCGCGCTGTTTAAGATTCCGTTCCGGTCACGAGCCATTTGCCGACCGAAGTCTCGTCTCGGATGATAAATGCTATAATATAGGAACTTGATTTCAAAAACTTACGTCCCTGCACATGACCGTATTATTTACATAACATTATTGTGAACAGTAAAAATGTTATTATAACAGTTATTATTATTGTATTAGTAATAACAGTACACAAAGCACGCCTCCCTTCGATTTGTATTGCTTTATACACTGGACGTATAATGTATATAATAGTATGGCTTGTTCGACCTTAAATAATATTATTATAATACTGCAGTTTAATATATATAAAAACTATCATCGTTCACGCGCATACTTCGTTTAATGAAAACTGTGAGAAGCACACGGAAGTTTGTAGATTTCCCATTATATTTGAAGGCCTTTGGACGATACGACGTATCTATT